CAGAGGTTAAGAGCACCGACTGCTCTTCCAGAGGTCCTGAGTTCAATTCCCAGCAACCACATGGTGGCTCACAACCATCCATTATGAGATCTGGTGCCCTCTTCTGGTGTGCAGATATACATGGAAGCAGAATGTTGTATACATAATAAATAAATAAAATAAAAAAAAGAAATCTGATAAAACAGAAGCTGAACAATTAATTTGATGTCTTCCCTGCCCAAGGGTATTGGTTGGCAGTTGTCAGGAAATCTTCCCAGGCCAGGTTGCTTATAAGGCTGCTTGTGTCATATTGTACTCTCACTTGGTAGAGATGACTCCTCCTCCTCTTCTTCTTCTTCCTCTTCCCTCCTCCCCTCTTTTCCTTCCTCCTCCCTTCTCCTCCTCTTCCTCCTTCTCCTCCTTTTTTATTTTAGAGACAGTGTTTGTCTGTGTAGCTTTGAAGCCTCCCTCTGTAGACCAGGCTGGCCTCAAACTCACAGAGATCCACCTGCTTCTGTCTCCTGAGTTCTGGGATTAAAGGCGTTCACCACCACTGCCCGACCCAGTAAAGATTATTCTTGGTCAGTATCTTTAAGATTACCAGATCATTAACAAAACAATCATTGTAATTTTCATGTGGAAAATTTATGTTGAAAATTGGACTTATTTTGACTATGAATTATTTTAAATATATTTAATAATTTTTCTCATTTTAAGTAATTTTCCTTTTGGGACATTTGTAATTTTTCATAATGTTACTTTATAATTAAAGTCTTGGTGAATTTTCCAGATTATTTCTTGGCAAAGATTCCTAAAAATTGTGCTAACTGATCAGTATCTATGACCAAAGTTCTTAATCCTTGACACAGAAAGAATATGAGATGGAGTGAGTAGTCTGGACTCAGTTACAAAGAACATGGATTGCTTTACCAGGGAGTTTTGGCCTCCTTTTTAAGGCTCTTTTGAGGATTTGCTGTAGAAAGATTAATTAAGCAATATATTTAAAAGATACTAAAAAGGGGGGTAAACAAGCTAGGAGGTGGTGGCAGATGCTTTTAATCCCAGCACTTGGGAGGCAGAGGTAGGCAGATCTCTGAGTTTAAGGCCAGCCTGATGTACAGTGGGAGTTCCAGAATAGCCAGGGCTACATAAAGAAATCCTGCCTCAAAAAGGGGCAGTGGGAGGAAACTATTCAGAATGTATCTCAAGAATTCAGTAGTAACTTGGGATTTTCTGCCTCTAGGGAATATACAGATATTTATTTGTATTAAATCAATTAAAAACAAATAGATAATCTTGCTGCACAAATGAAAAAATGCTGCCTTAATTTTTTAAGTTAGATATTGGTTATATATATTTTTAAGTTGGCTGCTCTTCTTTTGTGTAGATTTTTATCATGAAAGCTGATAAGTTTGTAGTTCTTGTGCCTGAAATATTTTGAGTGACTTGGAAATGTTTTTATAGTGGTTGTAGTTTGGGATTGGATATTTCTGTTTGGTTTGGTTTGGTTGAGATGGGTCTCACTCTATAGCCCAGGTGGGCATGTACCACCTACTTAGAAAAGAATTTTACACTTCTTATAAAATTTGGTAGGCAGTATAAGAACTCATTAAAGATTACTTTAAATGTTTTCATGTTTTAATGACTTGACCTTTGTACAATCTGAAATATTGATTATAGAGTGATGAAACTGAATGGATACATTTACATAAGTGAATGATTAATGATAGAAATTATGAAATAATTGATAGAATTTAATAAGCATTTCTTCTAGAACCATCTTGCAAAAATATTCACTTCTGTTGTTTCATTGACTTTTGTTTTTAAGCACCATGGTAATTATTTTTGAAGTCTATACTACTTTTTGAGATCTGTGATGTAGTTTTAAAATGTTGTTGGCAAGATTAAAGAACAACACTAAATTCTGTTAAAGGAACATTCATTTTTCTTGTTGCAGGTTTCTTTCCCTCCCTCCCTC